GATGTTCCAGACAGATTGCTGATGGAGGGGTGGGCCAAAGGGCCTGGGATGCTCAGGAGGTAAGTGAGGGAAATACTTAAGAAATATCGAATTAAAAAAATCCAAATCTACCAAGTCTCTTTGTCGCTATTCAAAGGCTGCTGACTTGTCTGAAAGAGAACTAAGGCGTCGGCTGCAGGTTAGAGGGGCAGAAGATTAGTTTTCCGTGAAGAACCAAAGCTTCGCTGAACTCGTTTATGAGATTCCTGTCAGACAAGTGCTGGGACATGGCTCTGGGGGGGTGGCTTGTGCCTTAAAACCCCTGGGGCCTAGGCTTTCCAGAACAGTGGGCATAGGTCAGAGGAGTTTGGAGTTGCCATGGAAAGAAAGCACATGAGAAAGGCCTGTGCCAAGATACTGGGCCTTCCCACTGTTTTGTTGGGAATGAAACCCTTCTCAGAGATGTGTTTTATAACTCAGTAAAGAGCCTTCAGAGTTTGACAGCACTTTGACCGCAGTGGTGGGAAATGGTTTTCCAGGGGGAAAGCCTGCCGCATTGCCTGTGGGCGCATCTTTCAGTTGTCTGCACTGGCCTGGCTCTTCCTTTCTCCTTCCCGACCCTGGGTGGGTCTCCGCAGCTGCTGCTTTTCTCATAAGTGGCAGTGAGATCGGAATGCTCAAAAGGTCTGGTGTTGCCAAAATCCTCCTGGAGGCACGTGGAAATCACCAGTAGGGGGCAGCCCAGCATGCTCCTTAGTCTTCTGGTTCCTGTCTGGGGCGCTGGGGCAGGGAGCTGAAGGCTCTTAGACCGTTTGCCTTTTGGGGTGGTCCAAGGAGCCAAGACCTTGAGTGTAGGCGTGTTTGTCCACTTCCTAACTGAGCAGCCCTGGTCCAGCTTCCCTGCTCTTGTTTCACTCGTGTGGTTTTCTCTGTCTGTCTGTCTCTCTTTCTGTCCTTCCCTCCCTCCTTGCTCTCCCTCCATCCCTTCTTTTCTTCCTTCCTTCTTTCTTTTTTCTTCATAAATTTAAAAAATTAAAAAAAATATAACAACAATACTTCATGTCCTTATATTCAGAACTGACTTTAACATTTTTGTCTTTTTTAATAAAATAGTTTAGTAGTTGAATAAAATAGTTTAACAGTTGAAGTTTCTTTATCCCAGGCCCATTCTCTTTTCCCGAGGTGAACTTCCTTGCAGTCTTGGTTTTATAACTTTACAAATGTCCTTGACTATGAACATGATGTAGTATTATTTTCTGTGTATTTTTAAAAGGTCACATAAATTATTTTATATTATGTGTACATATCAGTATGCAGTTTTGCTTATTTTTCTTTCTCACTTAGCATGAAGATCTCTTTCTGCTCAAATAAAAGATGAGGTTCAATCCAACTTACTTATTTAACACACCTACACACTTTATTTTTTTCTGTTTCTTTGTTGATGGCACTTGGGTTGTTTCCAACTTCTAATCCTGACAGTAGTACGGTGAATATTCTTGTATCTATCTCCTTAGGTGCCTGTGTGAGACTTTCTCTCAGGTGAGTACTTAGAAAGGGAATTGCTTGACTATAAAGCATACTGATTTATAATTTTCCAAGATACCAGCAAATTGCTCTTCAAAGTGATTGTACCAATTTATACTCCCTCCACCAATGTAAGAGAAATCCCCACATCCTTAGAAATGCCTTCTATTGTCAGGCTTTAAACATTTTGTCCAGCTAGTGGGAGAGGAATGGTATGTCCTTGTTTTAATTTACATTTCAGATTCTTTGTGGGGTAAGCAGCTTTTCATATATTTCTCGACCATGGAGGACTCCCCTCTGAACTGTCTGTTATTAACTTTACTGGCTTCCATTCTAACCCTGTGATTCCTCAGTTAATGGGAGCTAAGGAGAGTTTCCCATGGGGTAGGTTTCATGAGCGCTCTATCGCCAGCAGCTATATTGTGGGCATCTCTGCAGATGGTAACTTATAAAGCAGAATTCTTGGCTTCTAGAGAGGCACGTACTGACCTTTTAATCCAGCTCTTCTGTTGGTTTTTCCATTTTGACCAGGAGAAAACTTCATTATTTTATCCAGGAATTCCTGCCTCCACAATGGAAGGATATTCTCTAGTGACCGTTTTTTGTAATTTCACATGGTTCTTTTGATGGTTTTCTGTAAAATCTCCTGTCTGGTCTTAGATCCAAGAACAGTTATGCTCTGCTTAATGTCTGACTTATTTTCATCTCACGAATGCTATAAATTTACCGCCGACTGAATGGATACCCCTTTCCTTCTTTTCTTGGGCGTGGTGACTAGAAAGCTTAGATTCAAGCTCATGGCCCTTTCCTAACAGGTGTATGCATTTTAAACCTAATTCTTAGCCCTGCAGTATCTCTGTTCTTGCTTTTCTTTATTCTGTGCCTTCCAGTTTTGTTTATGTTAGCTCACTGTATTTTATTGAATACAACTTAGGAGTTTATAAATTAAAAATTTGATGAAAATGAAATAGAAATAAAATAAAGGGCATAGATAACTAAAAGGAAAGTTAAAGATAAATGCTTTGTGCCATAGACGTTGGTTAAGTCCCTATTGAGTGTCAGGCCCCTGCCTTAAGCATGGAGGACGCAGTGACGATCCAAGAAGGAGTGTTGAAGAATGCTCAGATGATATCAGGATGGTGACAGCCACCATGCCAGCTCAGCTGTAGGGAGTAGACAGACTTCTCTGGAAGTCCTGGCTGTGACCCCAAAGGAAATCTTGCCCACATTATCTACCTTTTTTGCTGCAGTTGCCTGAACAAAAGCGTTAAAATTCAGGATTCTCTGGAAGGCAGCTCTTTCTGGGAGATAATTTAGAAGGAGGTCACTGTGGTCTCTATGGAAAATGTTAGTGGAATGAAAATCTTGGAAAAATGTTTCCAAAATGTGATAATTTTGAAACATTCTATAAAAACTCTGAATGTTGAGGGGCTGGCCCCGTGGCCGAGTGGTTAAGTTCGCGCGCTCCGCTGCAGGCGGCCCAGTGTTTCGTTGGTTCGAATCCTGGGCGCGGACATGGCACTGCTCATTAAACCACGCTGAGGCAGCGTCCCACATGCCACAACTAGAAGGACCCACAACAAAGAATATACAACTATGTACTGGGGGGCTTTGGGGAGAAAAAGGAAAAAATAAAATCTTAAAAAAAAAAATAACTCTGAATGTTGAAAATTGTTGTTTGAGCGTTAGATTGGAGTCTTAGCATGTTTTCTTCTGTGTGTGGGAGGACAGAAGGGGATGAATCCTTGCACAGCTGTGAAGCGCGAGGCCCTGGGTATCAGGGAGAACCAAGACCTTTGAGCAGAAGATATACTGCTGTCTTGGAGGTTGCTTTTGTTGTGTAGCAGGAGACAATGTTTATGTGGCTCCTTTTAAAATTATTTCTCTTTGGTGTAATTTTGTTCCCTCAGAGCATTTACTAAATTTATTTCTAAAATTTATCTTCTAGAAATGGGTGCCCCAACTCTTACCATATGTGATATCTTTTTTATCTTGTTTTGGATTGCGTAGAAGGGACCTATAGGTGCTGTACCTTCTGCCCCATTGGTTACTATAATTTTTATTTTAACTCTTCTTGGTAATAGAAAGGCTGCATATTTGTTTTGTGTCATAATTGGAATGTTATGTGTCTTAAATTTTTTGAAAATCCCACTAGCACAACTTCCTATAGTGCCTTTGGAACTGCTGCCCATCTGTCCATCAATCCATTTGTCCATCCATCTGTCCTTCAGCCTTTGAATTCCTACCTTGTGCAAGGTACTTTGCTAGAGGCTGTGGTGCACATTAAGAAGAATAAAACAGGATCCAGCTGTTGTGTCTTCAAAGAGGGTGTGATGTAAGAAAAGTGAGTGGACAGGTGCTCAGATGACTAGCACAAGGAGAGTCCATGGTGGTAGTTTTAATAGCTTTGTGTTGTATTGCTAGGGATTTTATTGATTGCAAGTGACAGAAATTCAGATCGAATTTCTGTTCGTGACATCTGTCTTCAGAGATGGCTGAATCCAAAGGCTCAAGTGGCATTTTCAGGGTTCTGCCTCTCTTTAATCTCTCAGCTCTCTTTCCTTCTGTCTGCTGACTTCTTTCTCGGACAGTCTCTTTACTGTGGCAGAAAAATTTCCCATGGAAGCCCCAGGCCTGTGTAATATTTCAGCTATGGTCCCAGAGAAAGAGAGAGACTCTCTCTGTCCCAGCAATAATCTATTTAATTTCAGGGAAGATTCTCATTGGTTTAGTTGAGGTCACATGCACATCTCTAAGCCAGGCATCATGGCCAAGGGGAAGGGATTCTCTGTCCAGCTAGAGTCACCATTTTATTCCTATATTTGAGGGTTTTCAGAGAAGATGAAGCTTCGTTTCTATACAGAGTGCACTGGGGCCACACGGAGTTTGTGAAATGTGCTTCCTGAAAGGAAAAATTGGTGTTATTAATGACAAAGGCAGAAAGAGGAGATGCTGGCCTCAGAAAAGAGAGAGTGGGGAGGAAGGGAGGGATGGAGGCTGGGAGAGAGAGAAAGGGGGAGGGGAATCTGCTTCAGTCATTTCCGAGGTAAAAGGAGGGAGTGACTGCTGCTGCTGGAATGTGAGGAAGGATGTGATTTTTCTTGCATGGTGATGCTGGCATCCCTGTGGCTGTCACCGTAAGGGTGAAATGCCTTTGAGAGTTAGTGGATGCATTTCCAGTTATTTTCACCTCTCTACACAGGGGATACCTTAAAAGAGTTGGCAAGCTGAACTTGTTAGTTGAAAGAGTGATAGAAGATTAAGAAAAAATGAAACCTGGTGAACCTGTCGTTGACCATGAAACCCGATCAATCATGACTTCTTTTCAGTCACACTCAGTTTTGCTCCCCTTGCTGTATTTGAAAAAAATGGTGGGGCTAGGGTGGGTGGGAAGGGATCGCCTTGAGCACCCTGGTGAGGTTGCAGGGAAGCTGTCCGTTCTCTCATGCATTGCCTACCTTCTGAGTCACTGGTTTTCACTCTCTGCTTTTTTGCAGTTACATTGCAAATCAGAAAAGGCTAGAAATCATCAACGAAGATGATGTTGAAGCTTACGTGGGACTGAAAAACCTGTGAGTGCTCAGGACTGATGTATCTTACCGCAGAGCTTTTGCTTACGCTCTGTCATAGTCAGAGGGTCCTTCATTGGTTAATTCTAACATACATGCAATTATGTGTTTTCATAGGACAATTGTGGATTCTGGATTAAAATTTGTGGCTCATAAAGCGTTTCTGAAAAACACCAACTTACAGCACATGTAAGTAAAGGTTGATTCTTTTGTTTCCAAGGACCCAATTTATTCAATAATTTTTTCCTCTGTTTTTCTTCTTTTCCAACTCTAAACCTCCTTTTTGAAAGTTAGTATAGCTGTGATAATAGCTTAGAAGCATTAGCTTTTATTTTGTTTGATTTCTGAATAGCTTCAGAGGGGTACTTAGAACAGCCTGTTTATTCCCTTTCATGAATTTCTGGGCCATTTCCATCTTGGACAGAGCAATAGGCCAACAGTAAGGAGTCTGATGTGAAAACTGTCTTGGTACAGCGTCCCTGATTCTTTTCCTTGGAATCATGACATGTTCCCTGGAAGACATCAAACTGGTGGAGCTGAAAGAAGCTGACTTGGCCTTGGCCTTTTTAGGGAACTAAAAATTACTAATGCTTTTCCCCCCACAACGGGTCCTCTTTGGAACCTTCGTTTTCCCAAAGCTATCTGTCATGATTGATAAAAGTGGAGAAAAATCAATCATGGGATATGCCAAAGGTCAGACAATTATTAACAACAGCACGTTTCCCCTAAAGTCATTTTGATGCTCTGTCCACTGAAGCCAAATGGAAATATGGACAGTGGGAGCTCTCAGATTGTTTGCTGCTAAATTCCGTTAGATGATAGTGTCTAGTCAATACGGTGTGGACTTCCTGAGAGGTTTCTTCATTAAACAGAGGATTACCCACCCCTAAGCTCAGATTGATGTCCCCATGCCCCGAATTTTCAGTGGGAGCTTCTGTTGAAGGAATGTTGTCAGCATTCATTGGCTCTTTTGTGCTTTGCAAATTCTCTGCGACAATACTTATATGTTTCATAGACTACAGTGTACCTATAAGACTCTTACCTGAATTATCTCACTTGATTTTTCTGTCACTTGGCAGGGAAGATCTTCTTGATTCCCGTTTCATAGTTGTAAAGACAGACAGAGAGGGGCTGGCCCCATGGCCGAGTGGTTGAGTTCACGCGCTTTGCTTGGGCGGCCCAGGGTTTCGCCAGTTCGGATCCTGGGCGCAGACACCACGCTGCTCATCAGGCCACATTGAAGCGGTGTCCCACATGCCACAACTAGAAGGACCCACAACTAAAATATACAACTATGTACTTGGGGGATTTGGGTAGAAAAAGCAGGAGAAAAAAAAAAAAAGACAGAGGAAGTTCTAGGACTTGCGCAGGTCTGCAGATCGAAAGTGGCAGGATTGTGACTCCAGGGCCCACTCCTAGCCATGTTCCTACAATAAGAGTACAGGAAAGAAAATTTGTGTCATCCATGTAATTTGAGAACCAGCCCTTCTTGTCACATTTGTCCTCTTTGTTTTCTTGGGGAGAACAGTTCCTCAACTGATTGCCATGCCAGTGATAAAAGACATCATTCTCTTAGAGCAGATTGCCTGGACACGTTATGAAGATTTGTTGATATTATGAAAGACCTTAATTTCATAAAGCCGGTATCGTGACTTCCTATTTTATAGGTGACATTAATGATGAAGTCAATTTAAAAATAAAGTCGGTAGAATTAAGATATAAAACATACGGTAAAAACGTGATGAAACTCCAAGGAACTCTATGAACACATTTCATTTCAGTGCTTTTTGGCATCCTCTCTGTGGTTGGTTTGCCTGCACAAATCTGATGTCTGCGTAGGCCTTGATAGCATAAACAAGAGAGAAGTTGGATAGAAGAAAAAGGCAAAAGGCTCCAATGCAGTCACTTAACTGTAACTAATGACCTCAGTGGTTAAGTTCTGGAATTTTCATTACAGCTGACTTTCGACCTGAATTACTCAACAATCACATCTTACTGGCTATTTTACCATTTCATTTCCCCTAGGGCTATGTTGTGTTCAATGGGCGATAGTTAATTATAGTTTTATTAACAGAATTAGTTATTACTTTACTATACCTCTTATATTTTCCCTACTTTCCTTGTTGCATGCTATTTATATGAATACCGAAGCCACCTAGTGTGTTTTTTCAGGGTGATGTATGGTAGAATAATTTTAATGGCATTCTTTGTCCAGCACACAACTTATATAAAGCCAACTCCCTGTGTCCCAAAGAGGTGTCATTTGAAAACTGTCAACCAAAGAGATGGACAGGTCTTCTCTAGTTTCTTTAAAAGGTGGTGGTGAGGAAGCCCATTGGTCAAACTGCAAAAACTCTATTGATATTTGCGGCTCGATGAAATCATAGGACAGAAAGAAGTCAGGCCAGGATTCACACAGTTGTGAAGAAGTCATAAAGTGTCTGTAAGCTTCATATAGCCACCTGATGAAAGAGGTTCCTAATCGCCAAGATATGAAATTAAATGAAGTAGCTGGCTTTTGAGAATGGCAGGGAGGAGGGAATCAAGGCAAGTGTCTGCCTTTCCAGACCTTAGTCCCAACCTCTGCTGTGACTGAGGGCAGCGGCGCTGGCTTGTTGTCCCTGACCTCCCCCTTGTGAAGTGCATTCCTACCTCGTGTACCAGCACAGTGGGTGCCGGGGGCTGGAAAAGGGATGTGTATCAGAAGCTGTTTCTCTCCGCCCCTGGGATGCGCTGATCATCTCTGGGAGTTTCCCTGCAGTGTTCACATGTGCGCAAGAGCCGTCTATTCACGGCGGGCCTTAAGGACATTCAAGTCAGATCCTGTCTCTCCCTTACCCTGGGCATATTTAGCATCACATGGTGACTGTCCAAAACCCCTATGACTGCTCACTGAGTTGATTTCTTGGTGCCTTTAATTCCTGCCCGGCCCCTGAGAATCCAGGGGCTGGGAGAAAAGCCAATATCTGTGTTTCCTAGGGGCTTTGCCGAGGTGCTCATTAGCTCCTTTCAAAGTTCTATAATCAAACAGAGGACTGTTGATTTGTTTCCTCCCCTCCTCCTCCTTTGTGACTTTTGGCCCCAATAATAAGTATGGTTCATAAAACTCACCTTGTTCCTTGGTGCGTAACCACACTCTGGGCCGCACTGCTCCCAGACTGCCTTTGCTGGCTGGCCGAGAACCTTGACACCAAGTATCCTCTTTCTCTGACTCCGTTCTCCTCATTCTTCTTGGGAGGAAGAGTAGGGGTTTTTTTCCTTCAGAAGGATGGGGATTTCTGATGACGATGAAAACATTTGTGCCTCCAAGACTGAGGCGAAGACAGGCAGATTGACTTTTCAATGTATTGTACTCCAGTGGAAACCATTCTTAATTCACATTCCAAAAGAAAGATTTATGTGGGCACATTTCACAACTTCCCAGGGGATTATTTTTTCATGTGGGTGAGCACTTTATACTCAGTGTGAAGAGAAAAGATGCACGCATAGAAGGCAGAGAGTGCCCTGGAGTAGGTAGGGGTAGATGAGTGGAAATCTCAGTATAGAATTAAGTGGAGAGTGGACACACACGCTCTTGAATTATGAGATGCTGAGGTGGCATTTTCTTCACTGGTCAATTGACTAGCCTTAGCTCGTGCACTAGGCCCTGGGTATGAGCTCTCTCTGAAGGTGACTGGTCAGACATCCCAGGATACTTCCACCGATGATTTCAGTGATTTCATTGGGCTGACACAGTAGACTTGCCTCGGGCTGGGGGTGGCAAGATTGCTGTCACCCTCGGATCGCCCGTTCTTTTCTGGCTCTCGGCCCATCACTCGCTTTCCCAAGTAGGGAACAGACACTGAAAGGCTCCTGGCGATTTGTTGAGAGCTTGGCTGTTTTTGGAAAAGATGATGTTTGTTTTGCATTCATGTTACTTATTGCACACATGTCTAGAGGCCCAAGCTTTGGACACTTCTTAAATAAATTCAACTGGTAAACAAGTTCAGAGGGCAAGTCAGCTGCCAGGATTATGGCTCAGAATTTCCCAACTTGAGGTCTCATGGTGCTGATCTTTGGAAACTGGAACTTCCATCCTTGAATAAAACAACATATTCAGAACACGTCAGTAAATTCAGTATTATTTTTCCATTCACAAATAGGACATCTTTTCCTTGTCTGGCTTGTCCAAGTCTTAAAATAATACGTTGCTAAAATAGTTCAAGATAAAATCTCACATATTCCTTATTATCTGATTTTGCTGTTGTTGTTATCATCATGGAATTATCTAGTTATTTAGAAGTCATATATAAACAATTTCAGCAGAGTTTATCAATCGCTAGGTATCTTCTTTCCTATAAGGACATGTTACATTCAGTTAATCTTCAGAGTTATTTGTGTCATGTGATTTCAAAATAGTCATACTATTCTTTAGTTTTAAAGCATCTTTTTTCCCTAATGAATTTATGTTTTTTAATTTAATTTAATCCTTCTATTAATTGTTCAAAAAGTCAGAGAGCTCTAGGAGGTATGTAACTTAGCTCTGAATCAGCATACAAAAAATAAGCTTTTGGGTAAAAAAGAGATTAAAAATAGACATTACAGGGGCTGGCCCCATGGCATAGTGGTTAAGTTTGTGTTTTCTGCTTCAGTGACCTGGGGTTCACAAGTTTGGATCCTGGGCATGGACCTACACACAGCTCATCAAGCCATGCTGTGGCAGCATCCCACAGACAAAATAGAGGAAGATTGGCACAGATGTTACGAGCTTCCTCAGTGACAATCTTCCTCAAACAAAAAGAGGAAGACTGGCAACAGATGTTAGCTCAGGGCCAATCTTCCTCACCAAAAAAAAAAAAAAAATTACACTTCCCTCTTCTCTCCCATAAACAAGAATTATAGGAGAGGCAGGAAAAACTAAGCTATCACTCCAGGTAAAAGAAAGAGATTTTGGGCCTAAGTAAGGCATGTACTGTGATCAAATAAAATTATACTTTGAAAAAAGAAAATCTCTTTTTGAATACTTTATTCCTGAAATGTAACATTTTAAATTCATATTTAACATTTTTGATTCCTTTCAGCAATTTTACCAGAAATAAACTGACGAGTTTGTCCAGGAAACATTTCCGTCACCTTGACTTGTCTGAGCTGTAAGTAACGATTATATGTGACATTTGGGGAAGAAATTTCACAGGAAAGGGTAATTAAGTATTTTTTTAAATGAATGATGCTGCAAATCTATTTTTATATCAAAATTCTTGAAAAATGATTTCTCAAGTTTTGGCCACTTGTTCTTTTACTTCCTTGTGAAGATATGATTCGGTGGTGAAAAATAGAAATCTCAGTGGTAATACAACACTTATGTGAGTTTAAATGTTATTTTTACGTAGATGTTTTGTTTTCTAATGGAGGGAAAGGGGAGAAAGACGGGGGCTTTGTTCAAATGGCGACAGATCTCATAGAAGCTCCTTCGCCCTGTTATGTCCAGGCCCGAGTGGAAAGCAGACCCATACTCGGGGAGGGAGTGGCGATGGGCAGCGCACCCCAGCTTGTATCGGCCACCCCAGCGCTGGCCTAATGAACCCTGGAGGAGAGGTGGTCCTTCTCGTCTCGCCTGTCTGTGTGAGGTTTTCTTCTAGGTCTGCCACTGCACTCGATCTTTATCCTTACGCCCTAATTTCCTCTGCTGTAAAATGATAGGAGAAATATTGAACTATGTTCATGACTAATAGCCAGCATTTCCAAGTGGGCTCGATTCTTTGTATTATCGCCATGGAGCAAATATGAACTGTTGCCATTCCTTTGGGAAACGTACCCAAAGAACCCGAAGGCAGAGTCTCTGTAGGGTGGAGGGGGCCCAGATGGACAAGGCCTTTGACTACCAGGCAATGGCCTTGCTTAAACTGTATGTTGCCTGAGTTGTGGGGTCCACCCCTCTTCACAAGGAAGTTGTGCCAATCAGAAGATGCCCCTAGTGGAGAGACAAGAAGTTACTAGGTAGTCGTGAGTATTTTGTGGTGAAAGTCTTGGGAATTGGCAATTATTTGGAATCAACTGACTCATGGAGTTGAGGCGCTAGCTTTCTAACACAAGAATGGGCACGAAAACCTTCAGGAAGTGGTATGGAACAGAATAAGCGGCTCTGTAAACATTTGGAGCGTCACTGCAGAAAATTTTCATGATTAAATATTAGAGTTCTGATTTCAAATTCACATCTCAATACTCCCCCTGCTGCATGTTTAGTCAACTCACTCAGCAAATGTTAATTATGTGCCTATTACAACTCAAACTAACGTCGCACTAGGCCGTGGGGTTATATAAGGAGTTTCCGTGTTCCAGGATTCTGCTATCCAGGGGGAGAGGTAGAAGCCTAAACACGTAAGTGTATGTGGTGCAGAAGGAGTCTGCACACTGAGCCAGAGGAAGGAGCCAGCTGTCTGCCAGCATTGTGTGGTCACTGAACATTGCTATATTTATGATTAAAGATCTCTTTGCTTCTTTGTCACTTATGTGGATTCAATCCTACCTTCCTTTTAGAAAGACTTTAGTTTTTCACGTGCTTGGAATGCCAGGAAACATCTTGGATGAGTGGAGTTTAAACATTGTGGATCTCTTCCACATTATATTCCATATCCAGTAGCATCAAATCCTATTTTGGTGTTGGAGGCCATCAAGCAGACACAAATTAAATGTCTTCCATGACCACATTTTCCTCGAAGAAACTCCCAGAAAACTCTCCTGAGATTCGAAGAACCCGACCAGAAAACCACAGGAGTAAATAATGTTGCAAAGCCCTGGTCCTGTCCTCATGGAAATCTTAAGTATTGTGGTTAATGCCAGGCAGAGCCTATGTAACGATTTTAAATGGCCTCATTTAAAGACTCATTACCATAAATGGAAGTCATCTTAAATAGGCCACTGAGTATTATAAATAAGCATTTAAAGATTTTTTTTTCTTGTGGTTTTTATTTTCCCCTTGACTACTTCCTCTTTCACCAGTTGCAGGCCGCAGAGTCCAGGCCACACAGCTGAATGGTGGCTTTCTCTTTGCAGACCTCCCACAGTGGGCTGAGAGACTTAAGCTGGAGCTCAGCTACCCTTGCTCTCAGAAACCCTGTGCTTGTTGTGTGTGTGTGCGCACGTGTGGGTGTGTATGCAGGAAGTCTAAGAGCTCCCTTGCAGGTTCTCCCTCTCACCTTCACTCCAGCTTTCTTGCATCACTCAAATTGAGCTGCGGTCGCATAATGCAGAGGCTGACAGTGCCGCCCTCTTGGCTCTCACGCTTTAGTCTTAGCATTTATTTACAGTCTCATTTTAAGTGAAGATGAAATCGCTCTGTCGCCCGCTGAAGTCTGAGCTTATTTAATGATAACGCTTCAATCTCTAGCCTGGTCAGCATTCCTGAAAACTTACTGTTGACATCTTTGCTTAAGATCTTCTTAATAACTATACAATAACTGTGATAAATTTGTTATGGCGCCTTACTTTTCCCCATCTTACGAGACATCCTGTTGGTTCTATGTTACGGCTGTTTTTGTTCCTATCTTGTTTCCCCTGTTATTCTGGAAAGTCCTACATCACTCTTTAGCCTCTACAGTGGAGTTTGCACGCAACAGAAGCTCAGCGCGTATTAGATAAAAGAATGAATAATAAGTACTGTTGTGCTTTAAAGGTGGGTACAATCTCCCAAGATTGCTGGCTAGGAAGAATGCGTCATGTTGCAGAGCTTTCTAAACACTAGTGGAGTTAAAACTAAAAGATCGAAGCCTGATTGGGTTTCATTTTTGTTCCATGTAGGATCCTGGTGGGCAATCCATTTACATGCTCCTGTGACATTATGTGGATCAAGACTCTCCAGGAGACTAAATCCAGTCCAGAAACTCAGGATTTGTACTGCCTAAATGAAAGCAGCAAGAATATTCCCCTGGCAAACCTGCAGATACCCAATTGTGGTAATTTACTTTTAAATCAATGAGTTCTAGTTACTATTAATTGCTCTAATTGCTTTGGTGTGGTGGAGACTCTGGGGAGATTACCACTACCCAGATTTTACGTAGCATGCTCTTGACGTCTCAAGTGAGTTGGGCAACATTTGTGTGCAGTGTGGAGAAGTCAACTGGGAGCAATGTTGCTGAATATTCTTTGCAAGTAGAATATTATTTCTGAATGGATGACTTGAAAGTGGATAGAGAAAAAAGTACACTGTTTATTCCTTTCTTCCTTTGTTCATTTGTTTGTACCATCATCCATCCATCCATCCATCCACCATCCAAAAAAATATCTGCTAAGAGTGTAGTACTTCACTGGCCACATATATACTTACTTGGCACTCAGGCCTTGTACAGGGAAGAATCTCAGGAGGATGAAGTGTCCTGGCAGCACAAGAACATGCAGTTGGATCCAGCACATGGCCTTAAACTTGTCTTGCTGCCAGATGTCTGTGTCTCTTGATGGGGCACCAGAAACCTGCCGTCCCACGTGATTTTCCCGGTGCCTGGGTTTACAATCTCCTCTTCTACTCCTGTCCTCCACTCCTTCCCTCAGTATCTGCACCTCCAGAATTTAAAGGGGCACCACGTGATAAACTCACAGCTCTCTGTGAGTGCCAGTGTGTTTACAAGAAAGGAAAATCCAAGTGTCGTGCTTAGGATTTACTGCTGAGGGCTTCTGTGACATACCCCTGCAATACCCACATGGGCATGTTAGTCCTCTGTTGAAATTTTAATCAGTTAGTCAACCAGTTAATCAATTCACAATTATATTTGATCTTCCGGCTGGTGACACAGCAGAAAGCCATGAAGCACCTGATTCTTGTCCACAAGGAACCTCTATATTAACCATAAACATCTGATTCTTTGTTTTCAGAAGACCCTCTTGTTCAGGGTCAATTTTTATTTAAGGAAAATATAGCTTCTGCTCACTTTTAGTAAGAATGGAATAAAAGAAAAGATAAGTGTTTGTCTCTTACCCAGAAGGGGCTTAGAAACCAGCACGTACCCTCCCCACAGATTTTCTGCCTTTGGCTTCCTAATGGGGGAATCAGGCCTTGTTCCCTTGCCAACTTCCCTCAGCTGTCTTTGCTAGCCAGCACTTAAAAAAACTTTTAATATCTATCTTTTCCTGATTGATAAGCAGCTCACTGTTCTCTGTTCTGCTATAAATTTGCACTGCTGAGAGAAATTGCCTAGAGGGACAAGAAATTCTGTGTTGACTCACCTGGCCTCTTGGCCAGCTCCTGAGTCCCTGTGCTGTTGTGACCACATTGGCTCAGCGACCACTGAGAGGAAAAAAGAGACAGCATCTGACTCCTGTTCTGATTTCACAAACAGCCTCTTAATAGACGTCTGCTTTGCCCTTGCCTGAAACCAATTCAACTTTTTTTTTTTTGTTTTTATTTTTGGCCATGCTGTCTTGACAGCATTCCAGTAACGCACGCACCTAATGTGTTGTTGATAGTTCTTTGTGACTCTGGTGGGGGAAGGGGAGGAGCGAACGGGTCCTAATTTTTCCTGATCAATTCGTCAATTTTCAATAATCGCTATTTGTTTCCTACAAATTAGTCAGTGAATTGTGTGTAGGAGAGAGAGACTTTGAATCCACGGTCCAAGGGCGGGGGGTTGATTGCTTAGGGCTGAGTAGCTACCTTCGTGGTAACGTTCACAATTAATTTCAATGTCAATGATGCTTTTCAAAAGGCAGCGTTATAAAAGGTGAATTGATAGACTTATTTTTCTGCCACTTTCATATTCTTAAACTGTTTTGTTATTTTTATGTTAATTTTTGTTTGCTTTCCAAGTGCTTTTTACTTATTCATAATTGTACAAATAATGCTGATACTTTTTGTTGTAAAAATAACTTTCTATGTTGCACTTAAAGCTTGTCTTTTTCTTACTTGTGACGAGCTCAGGTCAGTAATCGTCGATCTCTCGTGTTCTTTTTAATCTTTGTACGGTATTCATGGTAGCGTATATCTTAATTCCGCTAAATCTTCCATATTGACAGGCATTTAGCTTATTTCCATTTTTCATTGCTACAAAAATGTTTCAACGTGTCCTCATATGTGCTCTTTGTGCCTGTGTACAGAGGCAGAGCCTTTTCTAGAGCACACAGCAGGAAGCAGACTTTTTGGTTTATATGATTTGCACATTAAAAAGTGGTTATCCCAATCTATTGTCGCTCCAGCAAAGCATCCCTGGATGTTAGCAAACTTCCTATTTGTTATCTTTCTAAAAAATGGTATGTCATTGCTTTTTAGTTTGCATTTTCCTGATTCCTACTGAGTATCTTCTATATTTTTTGGACACTGTGTTTATTCTTCAGTGAATTAGATAGTTACATCCTTTGTCTATTTTTCTATAGGGTTAGCTTCCTTTTCTTTCCTTTTCTTCCATTGATATGTTCTTTGTTTTATTTTTTCTTAATGGTTTGAAAGTTATGAATTATGTTTATTTTGTAAATAAATAATGCTCAAATATTTACCACACATATTTAAATATATTTTCTGTATCTAGAGATAACCCACAATAAGACAAGAAAAGATAATTTTACTTTCCTTTACTTTCTCCTCCCATCTCTCAGACCGTTATTGCCTGAGATTTTATTTTTAGGTTATGACTTGATTTTTTTGAAGATTTACGATTTGTTTGTATATCATTGACTTTTGCATCCTATTACTTCCTCGTGGAGTGGTTTTTCTGTTTGCTGGAGTATATCCTCTGATATTTCTTTCAGAGAAATTAAAAAAATAAAACCTGCAAGTTCTTCCTGGTGAAAAATCAGCCTGTATTTTTTCTTCTCGATGGAACTGGCTGAGAATAAAATTCTAGACCAAAATTACTTTCTCTGAGAACTTTGCAGATATTGTACTCTGTTCTCCTTCGGGTGCATTTGCTGGTGAGAAGCCCGAGGGCAGCCTGATGCTCATTTCTTGATGGGTAACCTATGCTTTTCTTTTCCTTCCAGAAGCTTTTAATATTTTCTCCTATTGATGTTACTGTTAAATTTTACCCACTGTAACCAGGGTGTGTGTGTATGTTCTGAAAAATTTATCCTGGTTGACATGTAATGTACTCTTGTAACGTGAGTGTTCACGTCTTCAGTTCTGGAAGAATTTTCTAACTTATTGAGATGGGTGTTTGCCCTCCCGGCTCCGCCCTCCATGCCTCTCAACCTTCTGGAGACTTTCCGTCTGATGGTCCTTTTCTGCTGCGTTCTGGGAGAATTGGTTTACTCACTACTTTGCCCTTCAGCTGTTTCTCCAGCTACTGAGTTTTTCCCTTCCAAAAATCAATTTTTAATTTCCACAGACTCTGTGATTTTTTTTTATGAGTGAAATGCCTTTTTCCATGTCGGGGTTCCGAATATCTCTAGGGTGTCACCAACACCTAGTGCGGCTGTTTTCTCCTGTCAAGTTCCCACACTTGTTGCTTCTCCCCCCAGGGAGCTGCAGCTGTTGTTGGATGGATGTTGTGCCCAACACAGGAAGGTAGAGGTGGGACAAGGACTGCTTTGGTCATTTGCTTTTCTTTTCTCTCTCTCTCTCTTTTTTTTTTTTTGGTGAGGAAGATTGGCCCTGAGCTAACATCTGTTGCCAATCTTCCTCTTTTTGCTTGAGGAAGATTGTTGTTGAGCTGACATCTGTGCCCATCTTCCTCTATTTTATGTGGGATGCGGCCACAGCATGGCTTGATGAGCAGTGTTTAGGTCCACACCCAGAATTCGAAGCTGTGAACCTTGGGCCACCAAAGTGGAACCCACAAACTTAACCACTACACCACGATGCCAGCCCCTCTAGTTGTTTTCCTAACCAGTGGCCCTGTGGCTTGGCCTGGGTGGGCTCCCCTCTGCCCTGAGTCTGCCCCTTCAGTGCTGGATCAGCCTAGAGCCTCCCTGTTTTGTGCAGCACAAACTTCCTTGTCTATTTGAGGCAATGCTGTTTCTCTTTAATCCCATTTCCCCTTTCTCTTGTTCAGGGGTTCCTCCTGGTTTCTTATCAACCAACAATATGCCTTCTTGTTTTCCAACATGGTTCTGGATTTTTTTAAGTTTACATAATTTCTAGAGACTTGAGATGAGAGGGAGAGACTTCCATTTGGGGCTTAGGCATATTTTAATTTTCTTTATGATGGTTTCTCAACTTTGGTTCTTTACAGAGTAGTTATGGGCCGGCCCCGTTGCCGAGTGGTTGCTTCCACCTCCGTGGCCCAGGGTTTCACTGGTTCAGATCCTGGGTGCGGACATGGCACCGCTCATTAAGCCATGCTGAGGTGGCGTCCCACATAGCAGAATTAGAAGGACCTGCAACTAGAATATACAACTATGTACTGGGGGGCTTTGGGGAGAAGAAGAAAAAAAAAGAAAAAGAAAAGGAAGATTGGCAACAGATGTTAGCTTAGGGCCAATCTTTAAAAAGAAAAGAAAAGAATTTCCCTCCTTTTAAAAAAACAAAAAGGACAAGTTAGATTGAGCAATAAATTATATTAGCTTTTTGGATTTAAATTGTGTCTCTGAACTTCCATGTTGAAGAATCAGATAATATGCTAATATCTTCAAGTTCAATGTCTTGTTTAAAACATGGATTCATGGTCAGTTGGCTTTTCATTCAGGTCTCACTCTTTGCAAGCCTTTAAAACATACCTGTTGTATTTAATTAAGTCACAGATTCCTGAAGTTTGTCCTAATTCCACTTTTTTTGGGATGAAACTTGTTAGCTAACTCTGAGAGTAACTCATGAGAGCATAGTCTGGTGTGGTTCATCATTGTAAACCAGCAATTTGCCGACAACTATGGCTACTGCATTTAGCTTGCAACTGGTAATATTTTAATTTCAATAAAAAGGATCTATTGGGATTTCATTGCTTCATGTAGGCATTATATGGTGAACAAGTTGCCTACATTTTATCAGCAAATATGCACACTCTGTAGTGCCTCATGCCTGCCTTGAGCATAACAG